CTTTCCTTTCCTTTCCTTTCCTTTCCTTTCCTTTCCTTTCCTTTCCTTTCCTTTCCTTTCCCCTTCCCCTTCCCCTTCCCCTTCCCTTTCGCTTTCCCCTTCCCTTTTCCTTTCCTCCCCTCCCCTCCCTCTCCTCTCCTTTCTTTTCTCCTTCCTTTCCCCTTCCCTCCCCTCTCCTCCCCTCCCCTTTCCCCCTTGTCCCTTGTCCCTTGCCTCTTACACTAATATTTTAAAATACAAAAGATGTGTTAAAACCACAACAAAAAAACTCCATCTAAATAAAAAGCACCAAATAAAAAGATGCATTCTATGCCCTCTTCTAAACCATAGCAATCAGGGAGTCAGCAAAGTGCACACTGTTCTATAACTTGGGCTCTATACAGAAAAAGCCAAATTACCTGTGGTGCATAGCAAAATATGCAAAGGGGACTATACTGAAGATGTAAAAGCACAAAAGAAGACTATGCAGAAATAGGCAGTCCTGCAAATCATTTGCTCCTATGATTTGTGTATATGAATATCAAAATGTAATAAAAAATAAAATAAAATAGGCCTCTTAGCTTGATTAGTAGACTTTGCACTGATTTGCCGAAGACCACCCACTGTCTGAAGAGCCACTGTTAATTTTATTTCTAGCAAGAACTAGCAAATAAATGTTGCATGGATATGGATACAGGATAAATAAATGATAGGAAATAATAGAAGTATAATTTCACCTCTTAGCCTATAATAAGCTTGGTGGCTTGCTAAAATTTGCTTCACTGATTCTTGAGGGCAGACTTTCACTCCAGTTGAGATAAAAGAAGATCGCTTGGTTCGATGCTTTGCCATATCAAATATCCTCCGAATAGTTGATACTTTAGACCTCTTTGCCAAGTTTTCTGACTTTTCAGATCCTGAATCCTCTGTCAGATGTTTGGCATCATTGTGATTAATTTCATTAGGGGTTTCTGTAAGAGGAAAATCACAAAAACACGTCAATAAAATACAATGCAGAATTATTGTCTGTCAATAAGATATATTGTAATAACAATAGCTTAACAATAATAAAGGAAGACACAGTTGCTGGTCATGTGGTGATAGACTGGAAGAGGTTAATATCAAAAGAGGAATCTTTCAAGGAGACTCACGTTCACCACTATTATTGTTATTGCATGGATTCATCAGTCAACAATGCTGGTATAGACCATAGCTATCAAACAACAAGGGTTTCCCACCAATTGGATTTTTCCATGTATTTTTTCCTAGAAAGATAGAAAAGGTGGACTGAAAAGGTCAGCACTCTCCTAAGCTTACCTGTGAACTCTGGATTCATTGGCGATATCCATTTTCATTTACTAGTTCATGGGGACATAACCCTACCTTTACAGGACACTTTAATTTATTTTCCTTATGCTAAGACTAGGAATACTGAAAGTTTTATATTTCACTGAATTGAAAAAAGCTTTCCACTTTCGTAAAGATAATAAAAGAACAGTTAAGATAATAAAAGAACAGTTAAGTACTTACGTTGTAAATGTTATCTATTCAAGTTTAACAGAATTATAATACTGATTTTAAATTTCAAGGTTCCTCAGAAATAATATGCCTTTCTCTTCTGACATCTATCTATCTATCTATATCTATCTATCTATCTATCTATCTATCTA